GATTGTAATTACCAAGTTCAGTTTCTATGATAGTTATACTACGGAAGGTTCTCAAACAGCCTGAAGTCTCGACTAAAGGTCTTCAGACCCTCTCAATCTGAGTCTCTAGTGGGCGACTAACCTCCACCGGAGTAAACAGATTGAGGCCTTAACAAACAAAACCTCCACTACCGGAGTAAATCCGGTACAGAATAGTGAGTTGGCTCCTCGACTAAAGTCACCAACTCCCTACCCTCAATCAAGGATGCTCTATCAACCTAGGCAGATATTCTCATTCTAGGTTAAAGCAGAAACAACAGGAATTTGATCAGGATTCAAGTCATTCAATCATTCAAACCTCAATCGAATATAATCAAATCATAGAATCAGTACTTGGGTTCATACAATCAAACCTAACATACAAATCTAGGGTTCTCCATACCCAAATGAATGGGAGAACTACTCCATGGAGAAAGAAGCAAAAGCAGAATCAGACGTGGAATTCATACTGTGAAGGATGGATTCCTGCTCCTGGACGTTGATCGGCACTTCTCCAAGATCAAACTGGCCTCCAATGGTGATGAAGATCAAGCTAGGGCACTTGGAGACTCTTGTTCGTCACTTTCTCTCTCTAGGAATCACTCTATCTCTCTCAAAACTCGAATCCCCTTCTCTTTGGCTGAAAATCTGCTTAAAAGGGCATCAGTGGCCAAAGCACGGTCGAGGGCACGACCGTGTAATGCCTCAGCCCGCCCGTGTTTTGGCTAGGGTTAATTACACGGCCAGTGCATTGGGGGAAACACGGGTGTGTTTCATGATGGACACGGCCGTGCTTTGTCTAAGCCCTGCCCGTGTTTTTAGCCAATGTTTGCCAAACTCGAATATGCTCTCGGCAGTAAAAGCACGGCCACAGAACACGGCCGTGTTCTGTTTTAGGTCTGCCCGTGTTTTGGCTCCAGCTCGACGAAATGACTTCCAAATGCCCCGAAACTCGTGCTTAGCCTTTCCTTTGACGTCTGGGACCTGAAATATTACAAAATAGCACAACCCGGCGTAAAATAGGCCAAAATACACGACTATGCCTCTCAAACGGATAAGAACTAGGAGCGCAAATATGTGCAATTACATCGTTATCAAATTCTCCCATACTTAACCGTTTGCTTGTCCCCAAGCAAACCAAGTCAGACACAAGGTAAGCTCAAAACAACAAGGCATGACATATCGGCACAAAACCCGTGGATCATACTGGCTTTCGATCAGTAACACATGGACAACTTCAATGACAACCTAGACAACCACCACAGATGACATTCGAATGCAGTAAAACCGAGCAAAGGAAGAGTCTCCCTTCTGTTCACCAACCAACATAGACTTGACTTAACCACTTGTTCGAAACAGTCACATCATGCACAAAGTTCAAGATATCAGAATTAAGACCGAGCAATCTAGGTCCTCACCGGGATAAAGAGTATAGAGAATAAGAGAAAATGAATCGCTCACTCTCGACCAGTGGGGTCAGGACAATATGATGCGAAAAATGTGCATGCTTAATCTCTCAATCCCTAACATCTCTTCATCATGAATGCAGCCTCTAAGTGCTAGAGTTCACATATGGGGTGTCATCACTAACTAATCCGGAGGTCTTAGACACAGGTTCAGATGACTGGCTAGGGTCTTGGACATGGGGAAAAGGCCTTTTAGGTGGTGGAAGTATTCATACAGCACAAGGTTCCACATTTCCAAACCCAACAGACTCACAATCAATCAAACCAAAAACTTTCTTTCTGCTATTCTGCATTACTCAAGTTCAGAGCACAAGAGCGAAGGAGGTTACATAAATGCTAGTATTTCTAAGCCAGACTGCTAAGAAACACTACTACATGGGCATTATTCAGATTTTTGGTGGTGGCTCTCTTTTGCTTTCATTTTTTTTCTTTGTTTTTCTTTCATTATTTTTCATTTCATAAGAGAACCACCGCCTCTGCACATTTTCAAACACCTGCCCAACTTTTAAGCACTACCTGCAACCCTCACATTACATTTAGCAGAAACAGCAGAGAACATGTAAAAATCACTCTGTGGAACCTTCTGAAAGATGCAAAAGGGTGACTTTTCATTGAAGACCGAAAGAAAGAAAACACACGGCTCAAAGGGGCTGACTAGGGGTATGACACACCAGGACAGTCAATTTGGTCGTGGGCTAATCCTATGCCTCCATCATCTAAGCTAATGACAACGTGAATGCTGCACATCATGGAAGAGGGAACTATCGCACAAGAAAGAAACGAGCAGGCTCAAATCTCACATGGCTACCTATATGCTCTATCTCTCGTTCTGATTCCCTGAACTAGATGCATAAATGACTGTCAAAAGCAAGTGATCAAACCAAGTCACATTTGGTGAGCAGACAGTTGAAAAACTGAACCCCTACACAATTCTACTACACATCTCAGTCATCACAATAAGTTGTCTAAGTCACACTCAAGTTGTCATGTATCAAGTCAAAAGCCATTCAGTTCACTAATCACATCCACAGTGCCAATACGATCAATCATCAAGCAAACAGCCGTGCTTGGAGTCCTCAAATCTCAAGATTTGGACAGTGGACTAGGCTCCAAGCACACATATATACGTTCCAATTCATACAAAGAACCCCCCCACACTTAAACGCGACAATGTCCTCAATGGAGCAGAGGGAAGGGGAACGATGTTACCGTGAAACAGTGGTCAGGAACGTTGACTGGATGGCGGACCAGTCAAATGAAGGAGGCACAGAGCTAGAGACAACAAAAACACACAAACTGGGTGATAGAGATCAGAGTACCAAGTCTACAATCCAAGATAAAACAAAACAAAACAAAACAAAACAAAACCACAAAACATGGAGTCTCAGTCTGGAACACAAATAAAGCACAAAACCCGCTCTAGAAGGCATCACCACCATCGCCGGTGGGTGGAGGGTACTCATCCTCGAACCCTGGGGACTGCACGAATGGGTAGTGGACCGCGTTCGGGTCCAAGCCCAAGTAGGACATGATGTAGTGCTGCCCCGACATGAGACGACGCCCTCGGTCCCGCTCGCGGTCAAGGCGGGTGTGGATGCGCTCCTGGCCGGCCAGGATGCGCTCATTCTGCTGCGAGATCGTCGCCAACTGGTCGGAGATGGGCACCACCACTGGAGGAGGTGACCCTGGAGAAGGAGACCGGGGAGCAGGAGAGAGGCTCGCGGGAGCCTAGGCACGACGGGGAACGCGGCGCCCACCAGCGGCGCTCGACTCGGCCTGGTCGCCCTCTGCAGGTATAGGTGGCTGAGGAAGGCCCACGATCCAGCGCACACGCCCGAGGCGAGCAACCAAGTGCTGGTGGTGGAGAGTAGGCTCGCCGAGTGGGGTTGGTCCGCGGACCAATTTCATCCCTGTGTAGTCCACCCCGTAGTTGCGGGCCAAGGCGGTGATCACCGGGCCACAAACGAGGCTGCGAGTCGTGCTGATGGCTACCTTAGTGAACGTCCGGGAAAGCACAGAGCCCAGCTGGATGGTGTCCTCAGAACGACCCATCGCATGCAACAACTAGAGAGTCCGGAGTGTGACCCGGTTGGACGAGCCCTGGCTGGGTGTGTAAGAAGTGCACATCAGGTGGTTGAGGATCCTCCATTCCGGACGGAGGAGAGCAGCCCGCGTCTGGCTGGCCACGTACTCTTCATCCACACTGTCCGGCAGGCAAATGCTCTGAAAGTACGCCTGGCAAGCGAAGTCGGTGGGATCTGAGAGGTCCAAGCGGAGAGGATGCCCGCCCTGCTGCCCGGGAATTGAGACGAAGTGCATTGGCAAACTCCCAGTAACTGAGGGAGTGCTCCACCCCACCGAGGGTGAACTGAACGGCATCAGCATGGTCGGAGTTCCCCTTCGAGTTGTGGTGGAAGGTGGCATAGAACTCCCAGACCAGCTCCTTGTAGGTCGGCTCGGCGAGGGTGAGAAGACGCCGCCAAGCAGGGGAGCGGACCGCGGCCTCCATCTGTGGCCTGGCATGGAGCTCCTCGAACACTTCCCAATCGAGGTGGAAGTGCTCGGCGATGCTGCGGTCACGGAGGTTTCGCAGCTTATGGCGCTGGACGATGTTCATCTGGTCGAGATAAACCTCCATGATCCTACAAAAACATAATGAAGGACAAAGTGTACACAAGCAAACGGGGTCAATGTTAGGTCAAAACCACACTGGGAGCCCTCATACCGAAAGATATGGACAGTGGACTAGACTCCCGGCGAAACAAGCATACCCATCATAGGAGATTTACACAGCAAAAGACACCGGGGACCCTCAAATCGAGCGATTCGGACAGTGGACTAGGCCCCCGGTGAAACAAACATGCCCAAACCCGTACGAGAAAAGCACTAATCGATCCACCACACAAAAAACCACACTAGCCCGCATAAAATGCAACATGCAAGCATCCCAATCATCCCCCAAACCCAAAATATTCCCAAACCCTTCATTCCACAATCAGAAGTTCTTCACCTCACTCTAGGTATCGATTGTCCATAAAAATAGGAAAAGACAGGGAGAACACACCTGGAGACGCAAGAAGAGACCACGAGAGAGGTGAAGAAAGTGGAAAGAAGCACCCTAAGTCGCCGGAAAACACACCGGAGACTCGCCGGAAAACTCACTGCCGGCGACCCAACCTCAGCCAAACCAGCCCAAATCTTTGGGGAATGTGCTCCTCGACGCCAGGAGCGTGGGGGCGCTCGCGGTTTGTGATTTGGAGGTCGGGAGAGGAAGTTATGGCCGGAAAATCGAGGGAGAAGGTGAAAGGGGCGATTTTCCGGCGAGGGGGGCTGGGAGAGTTTGAAAAAAAAAACTGATCTGGGGGGTGGGGGCTGAAAATTCGATTTTATAGGGGGGGGGGGGCGAAACACGGGCGGGGCAGAACACGGCCGTGTTCTGCCTGCTTCGCGCCCGTGTTTCCCCTCATTAAAACACGGGCGGGCTCCTTTCAAAACACGGCCGTGTTTTTGAAGGGCCTGTGCCCGTGCTTTTTATGCCGAGGCTAAAAGGCAAAACACGGGCGGAACAGGGCAAAACATGGCCGTGTTTTGGCCCCCTGCTGCCCGTGTTTTTACTGCCGAGCCTAAAATGCAATTTTTCCAATTTTCAATCTCAAACCACCAAGATTCATTCGTGCCCCGGCTCTAAAATTTACCCAATCACACATCAAAAAGAGCCGCCCGAGGCACGAAAAAACTTTCCAGACTGACTCCAGCCAGACTCAAAGACTCAAAAACCGACAAAGATGAAATAAATAAATAAAAACAAAGGTAGAAATGCAAACCGTGGTGGGGTTGCCTCCCCACAAGCGCTTCTTTACCGTCTTTTAGCTGGACGCCAATTGCGGAACTAAGGGTCCGCGAGCTCCACTGCCAACTCCGCACGTTCAACCTCGTCTCCCAGGTAGAGCTTGAGACGATGGCCATTCACTTTAAACGGCTCAGTTTGTGGGTTGGCAATTTCAATCGTGCCATACGGGAACACCTGATTGACCGTGTACGGTCCAGACCACCGGGAACGGAGTTTTCCAGGAAAGAGCTTTAGGCGAGAGTTATAAAGGAGAACTCGATCACCAACCTGGAACTCTTTCGGACACCGCAACCGTGCATCGTGCAGGCGCTTAGTGCGCTCCTTGTACAACTTGGTGTTCTCATAGGCGTGATAACGCCACTCCTCCAGCTCCAACATCTGCATTTTTCGCTCAACACCTGCAACACTAACATCCAAGTTTAGCAGCTTAAGGGCCCAGAAGGCCTTGTGCTCTAGCTCCACGGGCAAATGGCATGCCTTTCCATAGACAAGCCGGTACAGTGAGGTACCAATGGGCGTCTTGTAGGCAGTGCGATATGCCCACAGAGCATCATCGAGCTTGGTGGACCAATCCTTGCGGGATATGTTCACCGTCTTCTCCAAGATCCGCTTGAGCTCCCGGTTTGTCAGCTCGGCCTGGCCACTGGTTTGAGGATGGTAGGCCACGGACACCTTATGAGTTACACCATAGCGAGACAACAACTTATCGAACTGACCCTGGAAATGGGTGCCTCGGTCGCTTATGATGGCTCTAGGTGTCCCGAACCGGGAGAATAGCTGCTTCAAAAAACCACAAACACGTCTAGCATCATTAGTGGGCAAAGCTTGCGCCTCAGCCCACCTAGAGACGTAGTCAACAACAACAAGGATATAGGTATTACCAAAAGATGGAGGGAAGAGGCCCATGAAGTCGATACCCCAGACATCAAAAATCTCACAAGTTATAAACACATTCTGGGGCATCTCGTCACGGGCAGAGATGTTACCTGACCTCTGGCATCGGTCGCACCTGCGTGCGAAGGCGTCTGCGTCCTTGAAGAGCGTGGGCCAATAGAAGCCCGACTGGAGCACCTTCCTCGCCGTGCGGTTTCCTCCGTGGTGACCGCCAGCAGGTCCTTCATGACAGTGAGATAGAATGCCCTCCATCTCACTCTCCATAACACAGCGACAGATGATCTCGTCGGCTCCGATCCTGAAGAGATGAGGGTCATCCCAGAAGTAGTACTTCAGGTCGGAGAAGAACTTCCTCTTGGCGTGAGTTGTCATCCCCTTGGGCAGCTGCTGGCCCACAAGATAATTTGCAAAATCAGAATACCAGGGGGTGACACTCTCCACCAGGCACATCATCATCAGTCTCTCATCTGGAAAGGAGTCATTGATCTCCTCCTCGAGGTTGTCCGCAGGGGGTGCGTCCAACCGGGAGAGGTGATCGGCAGCAACATTCTCCGCTCCCTTCTTGTCCCGAATCTCAATGTCAAACTCCTGCAGCAGTAAGATCCATCGTATGAGCCTAGGCTTGGCATCAGCCTTGCTCATCAAGTATCGGATCGCGGAGTGATCTGTATGCACGGTCACATGGGACAAGACCAGATAAGGATGAAATTTATCGAAGGCAAACACCACCGCGAGCAGCTCCTTCTCCGTGGTGGTGTAGTTCTCCTGGGCGTCATTCAAGGTCTTCGAGGCGTAGTAGATAGGTCGGAAATGCTGATCTCGCCTCTGCCCCAACACAGCTCCAACAGCAAAGTCACTGGCATCGCACATAATCTCAAATGGCAGGGACCAGTCAGGAACAACCATGATAGGAGCTTTTCCTTCAAGGTCGTGAAAGCCGTTGTGCATGCATCAGTGAACTGGAAGGGGGCATCCTTCTCTAGAAGCTTAGTCAGGGGCAGAGCAATCTTCGAGAAATCCTTGATGAATCGCATGTAGAACCCTGCATGACCAAGAAAACTCCGGATCCCCTTAACAGATGTAGGAGGGGGCAGCTTGCTGATAGTCTCGATCTTCGCTCTGTCCACCTCAATCCCCATCTTAGAGATCTTATGCCCAAGGACTATGCCTTCTCGAACCATGAAGTGACACTTCTCCCAACTCAGTGCTAGGTTCGTTTCTTCACACCGTTTAAGGACAAGCTCCAGGTTATGGAGACAGTGAGAAAATGAGTCTCCATAAACTGAGAAATCGTCCATAAACACCTCCATAATCTCGCCAACCAGACGGTCAAAGATAGCAAGCATGCATCACTGAAAAGTGGCCGGGGCATTGCATAGCCCGAATGGGATCCTCCGGTAGGCAAAAGTGCCAAAGGGGCAGGTGAAAGTGGTCTTCGCCTGGTCCTCCGGTGCAATAGGGATCTGGAAGTACCCGGACATCCCATCCAGGAAACAGTAGAATTCGTGCCCCGCTAGTCTCTCCAACATCTGATCAATGAATGGTAGCGGGAAGTGGTCCTTCCGAGTGGCGTCGTTGAGACGCTGGTAATCAATGCAGACACGGTACCCAGTCACCGTGCGCATCGGGATCAGCTCATTCTTCTCATTAGGCACCACAGTCATCCCACCTTTTTTGGGTACCACCTGGGTGGGACTGACCCACTCGCTGTCGGAAATGGCGAAGATGATCCCCGCGTCCAGCAGCTTCACGATCTCTGCCCGAACCACAGCCTCCAGGTTCGGTGTCAGTCTTCTCTGCGGCTGTCTCACTGGCCGCATCTCATCCTCCATCAGTATCCGGTGGGAGCAGAAAGAAGGGCTGATCCCCCGGATGTATGTGATCTTCCATGCGAGAGCTCGCTCGTACCGCTTCAGCAAGGTCACCAGTCTGGTCTTCTGCTCGGGTGTGAGGGTCGAGCTGATGATGACTGGCAGCTTATTCCCCTCCCGGAGAAATGCATACTCCAAATGATGAGGGAGGGGCTTAAGCTCCAGCTCTGGTGGTTCCTCCAAGGAAGTACCGATGCGGGTGGAAGATGAGATCGGTTTGAACAGCCTGTCGCCCTCCAAGAAGGGGCCACTCTCCAACTCGGCCAGCTGCTCCGCCAGCTGCGGCTCCTGCGATGCCTGCTCACCTAGCAAAATACAACGCTCAAGAACATCGTCAGTACCCGCACTCGTTATAGCGAGTGCGGTCTCAAATCAGCAAGCATATCACAGTAATCTATGTCATCATGCAAATGAGAGTGTTTCCCATTCTCAGACACAGAAAAGGTAGCCTGTTCATCACTAGCACGCAGAATCAATTTACCACTATGCACATCAATAAGCGCCTTGGCGGTGGCGAGAAACGGTCTACCTAAAATCAAAGGTACATCCACATCCTCATTTATATCCAAAATAACAAAGTCAACAGGATATGTGAATGCACCCACATTAACAAGCAAGTCCTCAATGATACCCCTAGGATGCAAGATAGAACGATCAGCTAACTGAATGCTCATCCTAGTAGTTCTAGGTTCACCTAGGCCTAGCTTCTTAAACAAATTATAAGGCATGACATTTATGCTCGCGCCTAGGTCCGCCAAGGACTTTCCTACATGCATGCTGCCAATAACAAGAGGGATAGTGAAACTCCCTGGGTCTTTTCGCTTCTCGGGCAGCTTGTTCTGCAAGATGACAGAACACTCCTCGCTCAGCATCACTGTCGAAAGATCCCCAAGTTTCTTCTTGTTGGTGAGGAGGTCCTTCATGAACTTGGCATACTTGGGCATCTTTGACAGTGCCTCCACGAACGGCATGCTGATGTTGACCTGCTTCAACATTGCCATAAACTTGGCAAACTCAGTCTCCAGCTTGTCTTTATGTAGGCGAGTGGGGAAAAGAAGCTGAGGTACATGCTCCTTAACCTCTGGCTGTGGCTTGGGAGCAGGCGTTGTTGTGTCTTCCCCCACTTCTGCAGTATCAGCTGGAAGTGTTGAAGCAAGTAGTGGCTCATCTCGACTGGGCTGGGCAGGAGCAGCTGATGTGGTCTTGCCACTCCTGGTAGTGATGGCATCAAGCTGCTGGAGCTGGTTAGGATCACGAGGATTCGGAACAGTGGTGGCAGGCAAAGTCCCCAGTGCCCTGGTGGTGTTTTGGCGGGCCAAGGTACCCACCTGGTTCTGCAGGTCTTGCAAGATGGCACCCTGGTTCCTCTGACCTGCCTCCAGTGACGTGATAGCTGCCTGAGTGCTAGTCATGAATGAAGCTAGAATATTTTCCAGCTTCGTCATCTGAGTATCTGGAGCTGGAGCTGCTGCTGGCTCGGCGAACTGGCGCTGAGGCTGCTGGAATGGGTGCCCCTTCCTAGGCTGGTAGGGCTGCTGCTATGGGGTTGGCCCCTATCGAGGCTGGTAGGGCTGCTGCTGTGGGGCTGGCCCCTGTCGAGCCTGGAAGGGCTGCCTCTGCTGAAAGCCACCAGCTGGTGCTGGGAAACCAGGTGGCTTAGTGGTGTTGCTGCCCCAAGAGAAGTTGGGATGCTGGCGCCACCCCTCATTATAGGTGTTGTTGTACGGGTCGAGGCGCCGAGCATTGGCAATGAAGTCCAACTGCTCTTGGGGAATAGTAGACTCCCTCATAGCCTGGCAGTCTTCCACTAAGTGATTCAAGCTCTCACACCACTGACATTGAGCAACTGGAGGTGTAGCCAAACCTCTGCCCGGAATAAGACTGTTGGGCTGCTTCAATGTCTGCACTAGCTCAGCTACCTGCTGCTCGAGCCCAGATCTGGTCTCCATGGCGTGCACACCACGGTCTCGGCACTGTCTGCCTCTGCTGCTCTGTCCCCAGGAATGATCTCTGGCAGCCAAAGTATTAATCATCTGGTTCAGTTCTGGTGGAGTCTTAGTAAGAACATCCCCTCCTGGGCATAGAGACTCAATCACCCTCTGGCTGTCTGGAGAGAGAGCACTGTAGAAGTTCCCCACTGTGAATGCATCACTAAAGCCATGATGGGGACACTGCTAGAAATATCCCATGTACCGCTCCCATGCATCACGAAGTGACTCATATGGCTCTTGGCGGAAGTGAGTGATCTCCCGCTGTATCTCTGTAGTCTTCGATGCCGGATAGTACCTGTGCACGAATTTGTCAGCCAGATCGTCCCAAGAGGTGATGGACAATGGGGGCTGGGTCTCCAACCACCTCTTAGCATTCCCCGCCAGAGAATGGGGGAAGAGATGAAGGCGGATTGCATCATCCGGGACACCATTCAGCTTGAACCCGTTTGTCAGCTGCAGAAAACGAGAAAGATGCACCCTGGCCTCCTCATCCTTCAAGCCATGGAACTGGATAGAGGATGTAATGAGCTGAATCCAGCATGGCTTGATCTCGAAGTTATTTGCTGGAATAGGCGGGTAGAGGATGACCGGGTGGATGTCAGCAATCCGAGGAGTGTAGTAGTACTCCAAGGTGGGACCCGGCTGCGGTGGATGATGAACCCCATGATCCTGGGGTATGGGGTTGTTCCCCAGGACCTGATTCACCGGGGGAACCTGCTGAGGATTCCCCTGGTGTTGATTGTAGTCTCCGTCCATCCCGTACTCTTCTTCAGAATCGCTACTCAGGTGGCCGTCTATGCGCTCTTCCGTACCCAGTCTAGCTCGCTGTTGTCTCCTTGATATGATCCAAAATGGACAACTCTACACACTTTTATTACTTGACAAAGAAGCTATCAAAGTTGGGAAGAAGAAGGGCAGAATTTGGCTAAGTCAAAATCCGTGTTCAGGGTACATACTTTGGAGGCATGGTTCTCTCAATTGGCTTAGTGGAAATTCAATGTTCAGGGTTTGTATTGCAGATAAAGTTTTCATCTTTCCAATGGTATGCTTTGTGGATCCAGATGATGTCATTAAGGTTGTTTTCCAAGGCCTCAAAGTTGCTACCTCAAAACTGGAAAACTGCCAGAATTTGGTTAAGGCAGAAACTGTGTTCAAGAAGCCTACTTTGGAGCTCCATTCCAGAAGCATGGATGGGATTCGAGTCCAGAGTCTTAAACCACATGAAATTAGGTATGTTCTACTACAAAGACATGGCATTGGATGATTGGAAGCTTACTTGGAAGGCTTTGATCGAGAGGCTCAAAGATGGCATCAAAGCTGTTTGGTTACTTGGAGCTAAAGGCAGATTTCTTTTTCTTGTTTAGTTAGGATTTCATTGTTTTGGTAGTTTTTTTTATTCCTTTTCGTATTAGACTGTAATTAGGAGTTTATGAGACGCGTTTAACCCTAGCTAGGCCTATTTAAGCTTTCTATTTCATTGTAAAACTCAGAGTTGATTGAATTGAATACAAACCGAGTGTTTGGAGTTCTTGAGGTGCGTCTCGAGAGTTTACCCATTGTCGTTAGCTACGAGTGGATTCCTTAGCTAATTACAAGACCCTTGTGAAGCTATTCTGAGTGGATTCCAGAATCGTTTAGCAAGTTCTCTTATCAATCGATTAATCACCTCGATTGTGGCGAGAAATTCTACCTATCCGTTTTATCTTTCGTTGAAGAGTTTTGGCTGCGTATTCTGATCAAACAAAGCACCCCCCCCCCCTGGTGCTTTATCAAGTGGTATCAGAGCTTCCGGTTCAAGTCAGTGGCGAAGGAGTTTTGGAGGCTGTATTCGTCGAATTAAATCGCAAAAAAATCAGAGGAAAGCAGAGTAACAATGGCGGCAGCAGAGTTAGCAAATTCCATGATCTTCACGCGTTGTTTAATCGAGGAGCAGCTGTGTTTAGCTCTCGTGGATGGAGGCAGGGAGAGGAATTTGATTTCCTCTAGAGTTGTGAGCAAGCTAGGGCTGCAAACACATATGCTTCCGAAGCCCTATGTTTTCGACTCACCATACGAAAACAGATTCGGCATCGTAGTATCTCAAGTGAATGTGAAGTTTTCGATAGGCCAATACGAGGATCACGTTACGTGTGACGTGGTTTACAATCTCCCCAGTAGCATCGTTCTTGGTCAGCCATGGTTCAGTAAGCGTCAAGTCTGTTTTACAAGTCGACGGAGCAAGAAGTTTCGTATTCGGAGTCAAAACAAGGTGTTCGTTGTCAACCCTTTGGCTCTGGAAGTAGCT